GCAGGCCTGCGGCACGAGCGTGAGGCACCAGGTAGCCCTCGGCCTCCTGGTCCTTGGGATGCGCTGCGCATCCCCACGGTGGACGGCCGCCCTGCGGGCCCGGTCTCGGCGACCGGCGCCCGGGTGTCCCTGCAGGCGCTGGAGGCGCAGGCCGAGGCTGGTGCCGAGGTGGAGGCCATGCTGCAGCGCCACATGGACCGTATCTACCGGGATGACACCCTCGTTGGGCGGTCCACTGGGCCCCGGCCCCCGCCGGTGATCCGGCCCATGTCCTTAGCGGTGCCCGGCCTGACGGGAGGGGCAGGGCCTCCAGAGCGCCTGAGCCCAGCCATGTCCATCTCGCCCCAGGCCACCTACTTGTCGAAACTGATCCCGCACGCTGTGCTGCCACCCACCGTGGACGTGGTGGCCCTGGGCCGCTGCAGCCTGCGCACCCTGAGTCGCCGCAGCCTGCTCTCAGCCAGCCCGGCCTCTGTCCACTCGCTGGGCCGCTTCTCCTTGGCCTCCAGTCCGCGGCCCCGCAGCCGCCAGCCTTCCTCCTCCAGTGACACCTGGAGCCACTCTCAGTCCTCAGAGACGATCGTGTCTGACGGCTCCACTCTCTCCTCCAAGGGTGGCTCTGAGGGTCGGCCCGAGAGCTCTGTGGCTAGCCATAGTGTGGCACCCCTTCCCCAGGGGGGCAGCGGGAGGGGCTCTCCCAGCGGGGGTAGCGCGGCCGAGGCCTCGGACACCGTCAGCATTCGGAGCAGCGGGCAGTTGTCGGGCCGGAGCGTGTCCCTGCGGAAGCTGAAGCGGCCCCCCCCGCCTCCCCGCCGGACCTACTCACTCCATCAGCGGGGCCCGGCAGCCCCCGACGGGCCCTTGGGGTTGCCGCCTAAGCCTGAGCGGAAGCAGCCGCCGCAGCTGCCCCGGCCGCCCACCACTGGTGGGTCAGAAGGGATGGGGGCAGCCCCCTGTCCCTCCAGCTCAGCGGGCACCTGGGTGCCTGGCTTGTCTCCAGGGGGCTCCCGGCGTCCCCCACGCTCCCCAGAACGGACGCTCTCACCCTCCAGTGGGTACTCGAGCCAGAGTGGTACCCCTACCCTCCCTCCCAAGGGTCTCACAGGGGCCCCTGCTTCCCCGGGCAAGGCCCAACCCCCTAAACCAGAGCGTGTCACTTCCCTTCGGTCTCCTGGGGCCTCTGTCTCCTCCTCCCTCACGTCTCTCTGTTCCTCATCCTCTGACCCAGCCCCCTCAGACCGTTCTGGTACACAGATGTCGACCACCCTGGGTGACAGGTTTGCCATACCTCCTCACCCCAAGGTGCCTGCCCCCTTCTCCCCACCCCCTTCCAAGTCCAAGAGTCCTAACCAAGCGGCCCCTGCTCCGGTTACTCCTGCTGTGGTCCCTGGGCCCGTCTCTACCACTGATGTGAGTCCTGAGCCTCTGCCAACTCCGCAGACCTCCCTGATCCCACCACAGGAGTCTCCCGTTGCCTCCAAAGACAAGTCACCCCCACCATCCCCACCCCCATCTTACCATCCTCCCCCCCCACCCACTAAGAAGCCAGAGGTGGTTGAGGCCCTGTCTGCCCCAGAGACTGCTGAGGAGCCCCTCCAAGACCCCAGCTGGCCCCCACCCCCGCCTCCTGCACCTGAGGAGCACGACCTGTCCATGGCTGACTTTCCCCCACCTGAGGAGGCCTTTTTCTCTGTGGCTGGCCCTGAGCCTGCGGGCCCTCCAGACGCCCCAGAGCCTGTCAGATCCCTGGCTGCTTCGTCCTTCCCAGTTACCGTCTCTTCCCAGAGCCAGCTCCTCAGTTCCCCAGAGCCGCCTCCAGCTCCACCAGCCCCACCTCCTGCTGCTTCTGTCCCAGGGCTTCTGGCCAAGGTCCCTCGGAAGGAACCAGTGGGCTGCAGCAAAGGCAGTGCGGCCCCCAGGGAGGATGCTGGTGCACCCCTGGTCACGCCCTCGCTCCTGCAGATGGTGCGGCTGCGCTCTGTGGGCGCTCCTGCGGTAGCCGCGACCCCGGCACCCGGGCCATCCGCCCCCCAGAAGCCGCTCCGGAGGGCCCTGTCAGGGCGGGCCAGCCCAGCGCCTGGCCCCTCCTCAGGGCTCCATGCTGCTGTCCGACTCAAGGCCTCCAGTCTGGCTGCCAGCAAGGACCCTGTGAGTGGCCAGCCCAATGGACCACCTGAGGCGGAGCCACGGTCTCCCCAGTCCCCTGCCTCTATGGCCAGCTTCATCTTCTCCAAGGGCACCAAGAAGCTGCAGCTGGAGCGGCCGGTGTCCCCTGAGGTCCAGGCTGACCTCCAGCGGAATCTGGTGGCTGAACTTCGGAACATCTCGGAGCAGCGGCCATCCCAAGCCCCAAAGAAGCCACCTAAAGCTCCCCCACCCGTGGCCCGCAAGCCCCCGGTGGGGGTCCTGCCATCCACCTCCCCCACCTTTCCTCGGGTCGAGTCCCTTCCTGCTCCTCCCACTGACGGGCTCCTTCGAGCTGAGGACAGGACTAAGGGGGAGCCGGTGGAGAACGGAAGTGTCGTGCAGCTGGTGGGCCCCGAGGAGCAGAAGCTGGGCCCGCCTGGCTCAGGTACAGTGGGTGGTGTGTGTATGTGTGTGTGGTGGGGGGGTCCCCCCATCACTGGTGGTGGGAAAGAGGTGCCTGAAGTCCCGCTACCGGGGATCTGTTACCAGATCTTCCAGATTTTTCTGGTGTCAGGCTGCCTGGGAAGGGTGAGCTGTCACCCTTGATAAGCTAGCGAAGGAGCCTGGTGTGTGGGCCTTTGAAGTCAGACCTACTGAGTTCCACCTCAAGTTTGCCATTTTCTCTCCTCATCCTGGCCTCCAGGTCCTCGCCATAAAGCGCAGGGTGGCGGTGCCTGCCTTCGTGTGTGTAAAGCATCTGGCTGGTGCTGCGGGCGAGGCCAGTCAGTTGAGGAGGAGAGGCTGTGCTGTGGGCCGTCCAGAACCAAGCTGGGAGGCCCCCTGCTGAGTGTGTCCTTCTCCCTCTCCCCCCCCCCCCCCGCAGACCCACAGAAAGAGCTGGTCTGACCACCAGGCACCTCGCTGGCACTGCTGACCCATCCCAGGAACATAATCTCAGGGACCTGAGCAGCTCCAAGGACGAGAGAATACGGCAGATCTAGTAGAGAGGACGCCTGCAGCCTTAACCTTCACAGCCTTCGATATTTATGCAAGCCTGGTGGTGATCCTGTCCTCCGAGTCATCCAGCACATGCCTTTTCCCCCCGAATGGATTCCCCTCTGGCCGCTTGTCTTGGCCTTGGCCTCATCTCGGAGGAGGTAGCTGGTGGGAGCGGGTGGCTGCGCCCCCTGCTGGCCTCGAGGCCGCACAGTTGGGAGCAGAGCATCTCATTTGAGTTTCTTTCCTTTTACCCCCCATGTCCAAATCATGCACATACGGTAGTCCCGAATCAACGCACTTTTGAAAAGCAGCTGCATGTCCATCCTCCAGGGCCCACGAAGCCACATTCCAAGGGCCTGTTTACATGGCGGGCAGCATCAGTCCCCGTTTAGCCAGCCCATAGCTGGGACCAATCTGACCCCTCCCTCTGATCCGGTTTGCCCATTTCTTAGTTCTTGGAGGTGGGCGAGTCACTATTCCCACAGGTTTCTCCAGGCTGGAGGCAGGAGCGGGGCTGTGGAATTCCAAAGCACAAAGGGTGCAGCAGGGGTTAGCCCTCCTGTGCCTCAACTTAGCACCAACCACCCTCCTTGCCTTCTAGTTCTGCCAGGTGCTCCATGCCGGGGACAAGAAGTGGGGGACTGCCAGGGCCTAAACGGGGGTGGGGGTGGGGGAGAGGAACCAGACGGGAGGTCCACAGGCCTTCTGTCTTCAGAGAGTGGGAGAACGGAATAGGGAGACATCTCAGTGGGCACTTGGTGATGCCAAGCATCCGCCCCTTGTCTCACTGGGTCAGGTTGGGGTGGGCAGGCGCTACACTTCCAAGGCAGGAGCCCATGGGCTGTGGCAAAGCTGTGTCCCTTTCAGCTGGGCAGGAAGTCCTGAGGAGGTGGGTGGAGGGGTCTGGCCGGGGGGAGCGCTTGTTTGGGCAGTGGGCCCGGACCTGGCCCTACAGATTACATTCTGTGACCTTTCTCTTTACTCCGTGCATGTTCTTTCTGCCGCTGCCTTTTAGCCCAGGTGGTTTCACGGGGTTGGGGTGGAGGGGGGGGGGCGCTGGCGCTGAGTGACAAGGATGGGAACCCAAAGGTGCATTCTATTGCAGACTCTTCCCTAGTCAATGAAGGGGGGTTCCGTGCTCCTAGGGAGCAGGCAGGGTGATTGCTCCCTGGCCGTCAGCCTCTGCTACTGAGCTCTCCTCTAGGAATTTTAATGACCTCTTTTCAGCCTGTGCCACCTCTCTAGGTAAGCTGGCTTCCCCACCGGCCCCGGCGCTTCCCTCCAGTCGTGTGGCTCCCACCTGGGCCACCCCTTCTGTCCTGATCCTCTTTCCTCAACAGTGACTTGGGCTTGAGCCTGGCAAGGAACCTCACTTTTAGCTGCTTCTCTGGAGAGACTGAACCCCTCCCAGAACAAGAGCTGGGAACACAGGGGATGTGGTACGAGAGCCCAGGTTCCTCTGGCCCGCCCTCACACTGTCTTCTCCCTGTAGCTGTCAACCACGGTTGTTCCCTTGCCCCATGGGTGAGGGAGAGCAGCTACTGGGTACCCATTGCACCTGCCCAGTGAGCTGGGGAAAGAGGATAGTCAGTATGCACTGCTCTGCTCAGAGCTCCTGACCCAATGCCCTGGGAACCAAGACCAGGCCAACGCCTCCACGAGACCAGGCTCTGGCGGCAACCCAGAGCTGCTGGAGGTGGGAGGGAGCCCAGCTTCTGTGTTTCTTGCTCTCCCCTCTCAATGTTACTTGAGCTCCTTATCCTCAGCTAGAATCTTCTGAGCTTGTTTCCCCACTGGGTGGGACAGAGTACAAAGGAGAAGGGAGGATCTAGAAGAGGCAACCCTTCTTTGTCCTCTGGGGTAAATGAGCTTGACCTAGTGCAAATGGAGAGACCAAAAGCCTCTGATTTTTAATTTCCATAAAACTGTTAGAGAGAGAAGTATATATATATTTCTTTAAATTTTTGAGTCTTTGATATGTCTCTACAAACAATCCATTCCCTCTGCCCTGAAGCCTGAGTGAGACACATGAAAAAGCTGTGTGTGTGTTTCATTCAAAGGTGTTAATTAAATGATTAAAACTTGGCTGTGGTTTGCTGCTGCTTAATGGGAGAGGGACAGGGGTCTGGGACTGTGCCCACTATCAGGAGGGAAAATATTCTTTCTGCCTGCTGTAAGCACTGGACCCCAAAGTGGGTGTCTTCTGCCCACCCTTTTTTTTTGCTAGAATCTTAAGCAGGCTCCGCACCCAGCGTGGAGCCCGACACAGGGCTTGATCTCACCCTGAGATCATGACCTGAGCCGAAATCAAGTCTGGCGCTCAACCCACTGAGCCACTCAGGCACCCCCGGCCTCTTCTGCGTTTACGGCCAAAGGAAAAGTCGAAGTGTCTCTGATCCATCCAGTCCCCCCACCGGCGCATTACAGGGTCAAAAGTCCAAGATACAAGCAGCCTGGGCTGGGTGAGGGGCCCAGCAGCTGCTCCACACTTGTGTTCCTCCCTCCTGAGATGGTCCGGCTCACAGGCCCCACCCAGACACTCTTGTTCAGTTTATTTGAATTCGTGACAGTGACAGTGATTCTGATCAAGATGCCTTATGGAGAAGTACCCCACCCTCTCTGAAGAAAGATTCAGGCTCTGCCATCTGCCTTACTTCTGATATTAACACACAGCTGGTTTAGGGAATGTCCCAACCCCGCAGGATCAAGGGAAAGAAACGGCAGGAGCCCCAGGGCTGGGCCTCAGGGTTGGCAGGCACTGGGGAAAGCTGCCCACCACTTGGTAGACCACTAGGTTCTCTGTTTTCCCCTCCCTTTCCTTTTCAAATCCCACAATTTCCTGTTGGGGAAAGGCTGTAATTAGCTCAGTTCAGGCACCAGATCCCAGACAGAGGCACAGCTGCTGGGAGAACTCTAGGAAAACATGGGAACCAATATTCTTCCAATTAGAAGAGCTGTGGCATAAACCTTTTCTAGGAGTCATATTGCAACCAGATTTCTCCAGTCAGCTGCCAGGGGGAGAAGGTAGAGCTGGGCTCCCTGCTGCCGCCCCACCCTCGTTACTACCCCAGGGCGGGGCGGGGGGGTGGGCAGTCAGCGGCTCTGTAGTAGCCCAGCAGCCCCGACAGGATGGTTCTGGATTCTGGGGAGGTTGAGCTGCCGCTTACTGAGTTCCACCCCTAATAAAGTCCCCAACTTCCTGCTTCGGTGTCCTGGGAGATGGGGAGATGGGTAAATGGGTGAAGGACGGAGCAAACTGAGACAGCAGATGACTCGGGATGGGAGGAGGGAGCAGGATGCCAGGATAGCTAGCTGATGTTCCCCCCTTTCAGCGATTTACAGGAGATGCACCCCAGCTTGGTCATGAAGTCAGTTTGCTTCCACTGTGCGATGCAGTCCTCAGAGGTTTTAAAGTCAGCCTGCACAAAATAAAGAGAAGCCGTGAATGTGGCGGTGAAAGCAGCTCGAGGACAGCCCTTCCCCAAGGTCTCATGTGCCTCTCTTCCCTCCCGGCAAGCCAGCTCATCCGAGGCATCTAGTTTAGGAAAACAGTCACGAGTAAGTGCAAAGAACTATGTAGCAAGACATCCGCCTGGAGCGTACGAATAGTGAAAACCTGAGAACAACTTCAATGTTTAAAAGGCTATATAATTTTGTTACATTACAGTAATTATGATTCAACACTATGCAGTCAGATCCCCCCTCTCGGTATTTAAGAAGACGGGCACGTTTTTCTGGCATCAAGTTAAATAAAAAAAATAAACATATGGTGGGACTCAAACTGTAAATACATTATCTCCTTGCATTGAAAAAGTCCACAAAGAATCACTAATGCTATTTCCCAGGAACTCTAGGTGGCAGGACTATGGGTATTTTGTTTTCTTCATGTTCCCTATACTTTGGACATTTCTATATTGGAAATTTATTTTATAGCAGGAAAAAAAAGTGATTAAAAAAAGCAGCCTGGGAAAGTAGGAAAGAAGGGAGTGGGTAAAACCTGCCCACCACATGCAGGATGACTCTATGCCCCCCAGACACACTTCTGGCTGAGCAACGAAATGCGGGATTAACTAGGGAAGGTCACATGTGTCCTGTTAGCTCCATGAGGAGAGTGAACGGTTGCTGCTTTGTTCCTGATGCAGCCCGAGCACCTAGAACGGTGGCTGACATGCGTATCAGGGGCTCAGTACCTGCTGAAGGTAGGAATGCATTCAGGGGCCATGGGGACGGGCTGTGTGTGAGTCCACGCCCCAGAGGGCAGACGGAGAATGAGTGCTCTAAGACCAGAGCGGGTTAGTGGTGGGAGAGGGGGTCCTGGCTCCATGGCTTCTGGTGACCCTGTGTGGCCTTGGCAGGTGTCCTGCCAGATAAAATAGGGACAATCCTCCGATCGCGGACTGAAGATCAGAAGAGGAAATGTCTGAGTCCCTCACACAGTGCCTCAAATAGTCTGTCCGTGCTCAGTATGTGCGAGGGCTCCCATGTTCTGCAGGCACCTCCTCTGGAAAGGTGTGGACTAAGGAAGGGAGGGGCTTAGAGAGGCAGGAAGGTCTGGGGAGGGAGGGAG